CTGTTAAAAAAACGTGATTCGTTACCAACAATAGCCCTTTAGTATTAAAGGGCGCCAACAACGTTGTTTTGTCGATATAAAAAATTTGGATATGGCGTGCATAGAGATCTGCAACTTGTCAATGAAGTGACAAGGCGACCATTATTGTGAAATCAATTTACAGTACTATTTTAACCTTGTGTGTACAGTAGTCTTTATGATACGTTTCTTGTTAGATGCAAGTTTTTGGTCTGGCAAATGCATATCGATATCGATACTGTATCAATAGTATCGCATTCAAACTGGTTTTTTAATGGGTATTTCTTATTACAGTTAGACCATGTGATAATAATAATACATGTCACTGTACTATAATTGATAATATCACAATGTAAGTCACGAATAACATTTTTCAGATGAACACTAAACAATTTTTTATAGGCGTTAGAAATACAATTTTTGATATTTGAAAAATTTATTGAATAAATAAAGCTACTCAAACATTAATTAAGATCCACTGTAGCAATTAGTAAACTACAATAAGAGTAATTCTTGAACCAATTTAGTATTATTCAACTAATTTCAATCAATATGAAGTATTTGGCTGGAGGTAATACTGAATAATAAATAATGATATTATAGTACGAAATTAAACATGTAATGAATCATGCCTCTAAAACCTAACAAAGTTAAAAAAAGACTGACACTCAAAATATTGATTGGTATATTAATGTCAATACACATCAAAAACGAATCAATTAGTAATAAATGGCAAAGCAAATGTATAGAATAGATAGATAGATAGACTTAAATAAACTTAGATAGACTTAAATAAATATATCAAAAAAGGTACGTACATACGTACAAAAAATTGTAATTTTAATTTACTGGTAACGTTAACTCGATCGATATATAATAGTTATATTAATTATGTTGATTAATATTTATGTTAAGAGTTAAAGCAAAATGCAATTAGATATAGCTTAATAAGATCAAAAATTACATCATAAAATTGAAGCATAATAATCTACCTGAGTCGTGTCTGTAATCTTCTTGTTTATTAGTTTCAACCGCCGCTTTGTTTTTTTCAATTTCACTCTTTATATATTCTTTGTATCGATCTACGTAAGGATCGAGAGATTGACTTTTATAATTGGCTTCGGAATGATCCTGATCCGTATTTTCATTAGGCGATTGGACTTCATCCGCTTTTTGAAATTGCCTAATAGCCTGTCTGATGTCATCGGATATAAAGTCTTGATCAAGATTTTTTGCTTCATAAAATTCATACCAGTTTGAAAATGTACGATATAATTCTTCAGCTGTTGGTCGTAGATCCTGATCTTCATTCCAACATCTTTTAATCAAAGTTGAATAACATAACGGTATATTATTATTAATTTGCAAAAGAGACTATAATCGTATGGAATGTTGTTATATGGAATTTTTCCAGATGCTATTGCCCACATTAATACCCCAATACTATAGATATCTGCAGCCTTAGTATAATCCTTACATTTTAATACTTCAGGAGCCACATAAGGCAACACACCATAATAAATAGTTATCAGGCAGGCACTGCCTGATAACTGGTTTATTTGGTCGAGGATTTAAGATCAGACTAAGAAAT